CGGCCCTGAGCGCGCGCGGAGCCGGAGCGCCCCCCGTCCCCGTTAGCGCCCCGCCGCGTCCGGAACCGCCGCCTTCGGAACCGCCCCCGCTCCGTGCCCGCCCCGCGCTCACCGCGGGTCGGGTTCTTCTCCCTGCTGTAACGCACAGGGCTTAGCGATCCCCGCCTTGTGAAAAAGAGGTTCAATAAAGAAGAGACAGAACGGACAGCGTCCCAAAAAACATTACTTTAATGTGTTCGACACCAGAACTTTTCACTTTTCCAGTTACATAAAAAAGACAAGTCTGGTAAGTGGTAGCTAGAAAATCTAAACCTAGAGCTGTTCTCCCCTGGAGCAGATGAATGCAGCTTATGACCCAATCCCAGTTTCCTGGGCTCTTTAAAAGAAATAAACAACTATTTTTTTTTCCTCCCAAAGCACAGTATTTCTTCAGCAGCAATGTAAATGGGGTCACAGCAGCATAACTTGACCCTTCTGTAAAGCTTTGTATAAACCAGTGATTTTATAATGAAAACACTGTCCTTGAAAGAAAAAGCGGCAGTTAGACATCGATGCAAACATGGAATGATTAGGTCATAAACATATGGCACTTATAAAAAAAGATAGCTTATTTGAAGGCACCACCCACCACAGCAGAGTGGCCAGTTGTTCTACTGCATGCCCAAAGAAAGTTTCTTCCTGAAAGTTACAAAACTATTTAAAAAATGATTTGTACCCAAAACATGTGCTTTAAAAAAATATGAACTGTGCTAAGCAACTCTAGAATTTTGGTGTAGTAGGTATATATGTGTGTCTGTGGGTATATACACACATACACTAGAAAAGTGTGTGTGTGTGTACACATATATACAGACACACACATATGTGTGTGTATATTTTTATATATCTTTTTCTCCTTTAAACTTTTAAGGCTTCAGGAGTTGGTTTTCACATTCAGTAACTTTCTAGTTTAAGACGACCTCCATCTCCTTCACTCACAAAACGCTTCCTGCCCCTGTAAGAAAACAGAAAGTACCTTTCTAAGAAATTCATAGTAGCATCAGTTGTATTTTCTTACCTACTTCTGAAAATCTTCACATGGTCTTGGGAGTTAAGCACAAGATGTACAAGTTCAGCAAGATGAGCTATTAAATAGTCTTCATCACTTGATAAATTACCCAAATCTGTCACTATTTAGGTACACAGAGTTGTGTTTGTAAGCAGCTTTTCAAAACCTGCACTTTCAAATACTTTCTGCATTGCTGATCTTTTAATAGCCAATGTTATCATTAACACGCACAAAAATATGTTGCAGACCTAGGAGTGGCATTTTCTAACCCAAGCAGAAGTATGCTAGTCACAAAGGCAGTTACTGGTGCTCAAGTATAATCACGCTTTTGTTGCCGAGATGACCACTTGCTACCCTCCCACACCCCATGCATGAAAACATTGAATAGCGTAACGACGGACACAAGCCCAAAATCCACAAATAGAGGCTGCCTTTGATAAAGTCAAGAAAAATTCAAACCTGAACTGAATGCCAGATGGAAGATGATAATGCTTAAGATGTCTAACAACACAACCGAACTTTTAAAAAAAATTGTTTAAAGTAGTATTTCTGACACACAGACGTGAGAGCAGAAATATTGTTAACATCAGTTTTAACAAAACAGTGTTTACTTCCCACAGAAGTAGAATTTATGGATCTGTAGCAGCCAGTAAGGAGAAAACTGAATACCCAACACTTCTGCAATAGCCATCATTTGCTATAAATAATAACAAAACATAAGAACACTAAGCAAACCACATGACAGACAGATAGTAAAGGATTAGGTATTTAGAGCTTATACCATGTAAATTGCCTACTCCCTTTGATGTAATCAGTCTAATCTGATTTTAGAGTTCTATTAATGCACTTTAATGTTTACTTAAACAGTTTTGTAAAAGCAAATTACAAATGGTTGTCTGTTTTCCCACTGACACTACATGGGTCGTTGGGATGCCCGAATCTTGCACCTTGGGACTGCACTGATCTCTGTCACCACAGTAACAAGGGAGCGAAGCAGCAGCTCTTCCTCCTCTGGCAAGGAGACAGGCACACGCTGCCCAAGACTCTCTACAGGTGGTTACTTTCCTCAACTACTTACCCCAGTGCCCTGAAAATAGTTTCAGATCAAAGCAGCTCTGTAACAAAATCTTTCCCAGTACCCTATTCCTCCATCCTCCTTTGCTCCCTATCTACAATACCCAGGTCACAAGATCCCCCCTTTCTGTTACCTACAGGGGAGACAAAAAGCTGCACCTTCACCTATGGATAATGAAACAAGTACCTTGAAGGACAGAGGTCTCTCAGTGGTTTGGGGATTATCCCAGCCTGGAAGCATTCTTCTACAAACCGCTCAAGCACAGAATAGGAGTGTGGCACATCCAGGTTAATATCTGGGATTTCACAGTAAACTCGTTCATAGCCCTGCAAGGGTAACAATTTGAGCAGCGATGTGATTATCCTGTGATTATTACAATTTTTCTGTAGGATAAGTTTTCATGTACTTTTGTATATCCTATAAACAGTTTCAACAAACGTAAGCCAAAGGAACTGTAAGTTTGCAGAAAAACAAGGTACAATATCAGGATCATGGGATTACAGTTGCATACACACATAAAAACACTAGCAGAACTTCTAAGATTCCGGAAAGGTTATAAAACCAGGCAGGATTAGCCTAGTGGTTATCGCATGGAACCAAACTTAATATTTTTGCCACATAAATTAAACACATATATACAGGCTGCAAATGATCACCACTATGCAGCAAGTGAAGTACCTGTGCCAACCAGAGAGGACTTCATCACTTCCTTCCAGCAGGAGGATTGGGAAAAACTGGCCACGAGTGTGGTACCCAGTTTGTCCCAGGATAGCACAACTGTCCAGTATTCACAGCTGGAAGCAAAGTCATGAATCATGCTACTTTAGTAAGACATTTGCTTCTATGTACTACTCTAGTTGATACTTCTAATTAAGTGGATCTCATTATACTTCTTCAGTTATGAAGAACTGCTGATAAAAAAAAACTTTTTAAGTGAAGCATTAAGTGTACTTAATGTGAACTTTTTAAGTGTAGCATTTTAAATGATTCGTTTTTAATCAGTTAATTGCATAAGATCAGTTGAAATTTTTCAACAAGAACAACAACATTAAGTATCCCAAGCTCTGCTATGAACTAATGGCCAAAATTAATCTGTATTTCCTCCAGTACGTGCTAAGTATCATTACATACTGCAAACATCAGCGACTGTTTTTGCATGAGACACAGGAGGAAGGGGAGAGTGGAGGGAGCAGAAACAATATCCTGCCAGGTTTTTACCTTAAGAAAAGACTGCACAAATTTGGGGAGATCAAACCCAGTATTCTCCAAATGACACTTACCCTCTTCATTTGGTCCACAGTAATGACTGAAGATCTCCACAAAGATTTCAACAAATCCAGTATCATTTTAAAAGTCTTTTCCCCAGTTGATTCCAAAACCATCACCACTGCCTGAAACAAATTATGCAAGCTCTTTAGCTAAAAAAAAACACAGTGGTTCAAGCACATCTCATATAAGCATATGAAGTGCTAAAAGGAACAAGAGATGCAGTACTGCATATTTTCAGGGGTGGGAAGGCCAGTTGTAAGGAATCGCAATTCCGGTATATTAATTTTTGGAGGAGAAAAAAAAAAAAAAAAAGACTGATGGAAAGATACTGGAATAAGGACAGAAACGATGAAAATTGAAAAACTAGAAGACACAGTAAAGAGCAGTGCCTGACTTGAGATACATGGCCATACTCATACGATTGCTGCACTACAGATGGAAATTTACGTTGTGAAATTAATTCTTATCTATGACCCAAAACAATGTGATTTTTTTTTAATCCCCCCAAATGCCAACAAGCAAAATAAATTTTTTACTCCTATGAGATTTGCTAAATAGAGTCAAGTTATTCAAAAGGAAAAAAATCAGCCCATTTCAGATTCTGGCTGTTCAGTTTTAGTGGTAAACAAGCACTTCCTCATTTAGCAGGTAAAAAACAATCAAAAAACCCTACAATTTAGAATATCCAGTTATTTGAAATCTGTTGCAATAAGGTTGCAACTAAAAGGAAATAAACACCAAGTATGTTTTTGCTGCTATTCCTTAGTGGGGGGAAAAAAAAAGGTTTATTTGTTGCGCAAAGCACACACAAATGAACACAGACTATTAACTTCACTTTAGTTATTCAAGTAACATCAGAACTTGCAACCTGAGCTTCAGATCCAAGTTACAGCACATACACGCCCACATCAAAACAAAACACAGTCTCCTTTTATTACTGACAGTCGTTAAAGGGACTCTAATGTTTCCTTACTTCATATACAAGTTCATGGTGGAAGTGGGGCACTTCCAGCTCCTGAAGACAACGTTCAGCTTCCAACACGTCTCCAGAAAGCAAATATTCCTTCAGCAACATATCAATCTATTGAATTTTTAAAACAAACAAAACACAATACTAGTTAGTTATTAAAAAAAAAAAAAAGCTTTTAACTGTTGATAATCTGCAACCCACTTAGCAGCAAGTTAGTTCCCCAAACTTGCATCTAAATTTTATAAATAGTATTAAATTGTATATAAATTACATATAAAAAAGATAAATAGCATTAAACGCAGTATTTATCCATGCTGTAATACAGATACCAAGCAGCATTTCTAGTGCTTGTGTAAGATTGCCATTACAATGAAAAGTTAACATAGCTATGATAAAGTTCTCCTCCCCAGAACTCTTCCTCTCAGCTGTTATGCTCACTATCTAGATTTTTCAACATGACTGTTTCCTTTAAACCTTTCCCTCTTTCTTAGTATGGATCTCTAAACTTTCCCAATTCTTCCTCCTCCCATTTTGTTCCTACTGTGCTTTTACTCAGTGATGCTACAAAACAAACTGCCAGCTTCCCCCTTGGATCTTTTCCTCTACCTTTTCAACTGGAAACTCTTAAAGCTGTTAAGCAAAAACAAAGATATACCAGTTCATGCTCTGTATTGCCAGCATCCTTTTCAATCAATAAAATAATAATCCAAAAACCCAGTCTGACAACATTTTGTTGCAGGATCCATGCACCTCTGCACCATCCCAAAGATGATGGGCTTAAACAGAAAACTCAGGAGTTCTGTACAAGTCAGCTACCTCTTTCACAAGGTGTTTCACAGACTGCTGGCCACCTCCTGACCCCCACACGTTGTCTATGCGCTTTCCACCCTTGGTCATGCTCAGCAACACAGTAGCTCGGTCGAGTGCAGCTCTAGAAAGCAAAATTTGGGCTTTAGGAAGCTACAAACCAAAAGGAGAATCTGTAATACCTACATTTTCCCACCATTTTCCCACTTAAAAAAAAAAAAAAAAAAGGCACAGTGCTTGTGCTAAAGTCACAGGGACCGATCTCTGGGAAGACTTCACCAGTAGCAACTTCCCGCTGACTTCTTGATCAAGATGTCTGTAATATTGGTCCCAAAGTTTTCTTTCCACCCACTTAACGCTTTTGGTTATAATGTGCACTCAGGACAGATATTGGTCCTGCAATGATCGCAGGCCTTAGTCATCAGTGTAGAATCTGAAACATTTGTATGACATAATTTAATACTCCTATGCAGAGATGAATTCTATTTGGGCTCCTCCACACATGCAGTTTGACACATGCATCTCAAACAAACAAGGCTTGAATTGCTTCTGAGCTAAAGAACAGCTTCTCTGCTGAAACATTATTTGCTGTTTTGTGAAACCTGGGCAATATAAGTCAAAACACCACTTTGGAAAAAGCAAATACATACTTGCAAGAAAACAGGGTGAATTAAGGAAGTTGGTTGGATCATTGAGAAAAGGAAGAAAAAAAACAATTGAGGTGAGAAAAAAAAAAAATCAGACCCAGTTAAGTACCAGCCAAGCATAGAAGGTATAGTTGTGTGACTATGCTCACACTGGGGCAAGCCAGTAAGAACTGCTATATGCAGGAACAGAATTACCAAGCAGCAAAGACTGTCCAAGAAACAGTAAAGGCATGAAAGCGCCCCACATGTGCACTTCCCAGGCTAAAATGCTTAAAATTGCATTTTATTTTATTATTATTACTAATATTTTTCACACCTTGAACCCTCAAGTTAGGCAGCTAACTATAAACACTGCAAACAGAATAGTTTCACAACATATTTAAAGCAGTTGTCCTGATGCTATATTTATTCATTAGTCACATTAAAGTCTTTTCTAAGACAAAAACTTCTACAGTAAGTTCTTTCAGGTTGCTCCCTCCTCCCTTTTTTTTAATTAAACATAAGTTGGACAACAAACCTGACTGACTAAATTCAAATGCATTAACATATTCTTCAAGCACTTGTAACATTTCTCCTCTTATCCGAGTCATTCTGATTTTTTTTGGTGATGCTCTTGGTGTATTTTTTTTTCAGTTCATTTCTAACTAAGCAAGAAGAATTAATAAATAACCACATGGTTTATTCTAAAGTCCCAAAATTACAATCTTGTTTGGCCTCTTAAACTGAAAACTGAAACTTGAGCAAGTAAGTAAATTACCGAGCTTGGGTGCAATCCACGGTGCCTTTGTAGCCATCTATGTAGGTACTGCTTAAAATCCCATCTCCAACAGCTCTAGCAATAAACTGGCCCATCAGCTGCAAGAAAACAGAGGCAATTTTGAATAAACCTTGAATTTCAAAGCAGTTCTAAATAGACAATTATACTTGGCTTTCAGGTTTCATTTATTAAAATGAATCATCTCAAAGTAAAAACATAGGCTGGGAAATTGGATAAGGGATTAGAGACACCAAGAAAATCCACGCATATTTTCCAAACATGAAGTCTTTTTCAGCCTACTTGATCAATTTAACCACAATTTAAAAGAAATAGCTTTTAAATACAGGCAGAAAAAAATATATCAGATATACCTGTGGTGCTTTGGGAGAATCCAAAACCAATTCAGGTAGATCTTTAAGTAGTCTATCAAATGATTTTTCCACGTCAGTTTTGCTCACTACTGTCCCACAAAGGTCAGAGAGGAGCTTAGAAGTCATTTCCCTGTGACTAGCCTTCCCCTCCAATGCCAAGGAAACAGCCAGCACTGGCACACTGTATTTCATTTCACCAAGATTTAAATCCTTCAGCATTTCCTAAATAAGATTTGAAAAAGAAAAAAAGATTAAGTGTGAGTGTGCAAAATATATATAAAAACAAAATCATGACTTCTATGTATATATACACACACACACATATATACATACATACATCTTTATTTTTACGGCATGAGCACCAGCAACTATTTAGGCATTCTAATTGCACATTCTTGCCATCTTTATACATCCAGTATCAGCTAGCTGTTAGACTCCCATGTACACTACAGGGCTGTCTCCCAAAATAAACAAACAAATAGCATGTGACATACCGAAACTTCATTAGTATCTCCATGCTCAAAATATTCCTGTATGATTGGTGTTAGAGTTTTCTCAAATGCTCTTTCATCCAGAGGCAAAACTACTGTTTCGTAGACACAGTTCTCCTATTTTTAAAGGCAAAGACATACACACTTTTTAAAACAATACTGTATCTTCTTATATGTTACGCAGTTTTACTAGCACAAATATCTTCTAAATCATTCTGGCTTTATGCACGCTCCTGGCAGTCAAGATTCTCACAGAAAGTAATAGATTCATGTCTCTACACTTGAAGTGTGGGCAGTGAGTAAAGCTAAATGTCGTGCTCCTTGTAGTTTGGGTTTATTGCCAGCTGAAGTCAACCAGGAAGCTGCATTTGCACTTACATGACGGCCGGCACTGCACAGTGCTCCCAGGGTCCTGCCGACGAGGCAGGACACAAAGTACCCACGGGCTCTCCCTGCTGAAGGGAGGCAGCAGAAACTCCCAAGAGCTCAGCAGATTCAGCCGTGCCCCAGCACAAGACAACTTCCAGCACCTTTCCCTGCAAGCCCATTCCAGCTGCTGCCAGCAAGCCTGACGTTTTTCCCTTCTCTCGGGACTACGTGACCAGACAGGCACAAGCATGCCCGTATCTGCATGGCAGGGAAAAGGCATTTTCAGGATATTTGTGAGTGAAAACTTTCCCTAAGAGGAAAAAGAATCACACAGCAGCTGCCCCTTGTCCTATGTCTAAGACCAGAGTTCCAGCACAGCCACCTCTCCCACCATAATTCAGTTCCCCATTCCTCACAGAGCACAGCAGTGACACTGACAGCAACACTACAGATCAAAGACATCTGAACACGGAAGTTCCCAGCTGCTTTTTTGAAAGCAGCCTTCCACAACCGAGAATTAAGAAGGCAAAATGCCTGCTCTTCCACTACACCAGCCTCTGTTTGCAACAGACAACAACCTCAGTAAAGCTAATCATGCAGAATTCCCATGGAATACTCATTCAGCTTCCTTTTATGCTATCAGCAGCTTTAATTTCAGCAGCTCTCTCTGCTAAGGCAATCTTCTGAATTGCTGGAAAAACAACTGTGAAGTCCACATTCTGATGTACCCATAGGCAACCTCTTGGCAGTCATGGCTGCAGTCTCTGCTCAGGGGACATCGACGTTACTCTGCCTTGGCATAAAGCACTTATTTACAGCCTCACAAATGTACTGATCTTAAGAGATTTCAACAATCGTGTTTGTAATTTTCCTTTCCTCAATCACTTAAGTTTTTGAGGCATCATTTGCCCAGTAACTTCTACTCCACCCATCCTCTCTCCGACCCCTTCCAATATGGCTGCAACAGACAACCTCCATGAAAACAAATAAGTAAATAAATACATCTCGGCTATCAACTTTACACTAACTGAAAGTGTTTTTATGACAAAATATAAGATGTGGGGAGGGATGAAAGTAGACCAAAGAACAAGTCTGTAAGAAGCTCCCTCCACCCAGACCAAAATCTCCCCTTGTGAGAAAGTCAGCTGCGTTTTTAACATGGTGCTGACGTGCAGTTTAGGGCAGCATTGCAACATTCACCTTCGCGAGAAGCAGCACTAAAAGAACACACCCTTGAAAAGGGTGCTGCCTGGTGAGACAAAGAAAGAAGAAATAAACTTAAGATCCTTGAATGTTACACTACTGCACTTTATACAGCAGTCTTGGGAGTCAATAATCCATTCTTGTACATAAAAATGAGCAATTAGTCTGGTCAGGCCACATCCACATAACTCGCAAGACCACACTTTCACTAGTATGAACATAACAGCAACTGTAGCAAATAAAGAAAAATCAAGATGCACATTGTGCAAACAAAGTACTTGCCTACCTGGTCATCATCATAATTAGGATCCTTAATATCTACTTCTTCCACATCATACACTTGACCTGGTGTTCCCCAAACTCCTTTACCACCTGCTCCACCTGGCAAAACACAGAACAGTAAGAAGAGCTAGCTTACAAATAATGCTTTTAATTGAAAACACTACTCCCCATAGGCAAAGGCAATATATCACAGCTTGTACCCACCTCTTATTTCCCAGGGTATATGCTGAAGAGGGCAGAAGTGTTTTTATGACACATTCTCACTTGAGCAATTGGTGTTTAATCTCTTTCCAGTAGGATACCAGCAATACAAAACAACATAAGAATAACTAAAGACTGAAGCAACTACGCTTTCCAATATAAGCACACTTTTACTTTGCATTTGTGGTAGTCCATGTGAATCTATGATACTCATACAAAATTCTAGGTACTATTTGCTACTGCTGGACCTAGCAAAGAACTGAGCGTCTGCAAGAAGATCGTTGCTTACAAGAATGATGCCCACACTATGTTTTTGGGCAGAATCAATGGCACTTTCTTTGCTGGGCTACACCAACCTTTCTTTGGCAGACCCCTTCCCTTTCCAGAGCGGGATCGCCTATCCAGGACTTTCCCCTTCGGGCTTGTTGGTGCAACCACTCCAGTCTTCAGTGTCTCTCCATTGTCACTAACAGAGTCTCCTCTTCCAGAATCTCGAGAAGAATTTTTCCTCAATCGTCTTTTTGCTCTAGCATTTATTTTAGCTTCAGTAATTGAAGTTGCAGGAATCCAATTTCCATTGATTTCAGTCTTGTGATCCTCAGACCCACCATTTTCTTCATCACCAGAAAATGGAGCATCGCTTAGATTATCGAGTTCTTAAAAGACAGACACAGTAAAAAATCTCATTTGTTGCTTTAAACATTTTTTATGTTTTTAAACACATTCCTTTAAACATTTTTTTTCAATTACCAAAGTCATGATGTGTTTAAAATGGATTACAACACTAAAATTAAACAGAACTCACTTATACTTCAACAGTTTTGACAGACTTCATTTTTAATAAATATATTTACACATAACAGTTATAAGGAATTCCTTATTCTCCAGTAGAGGTTATCCACAAGCTAAACATATCACAGGCAAAGAGAGGGAAAGCAAATAAACAATTTACAAACGAGTAAACCACAGAAAACTCCACCCTTGTTGAACAAAATTTATCAGAATTCCTAAGTGCTTAAGATCTAAGTGCCTACTTATCATGCCACCCACTCATCTCTTGATTTAGAAACAAACAAAACTGCCAATGCAGAGAATTCTGTAAGAACGCGCTAACGTTAACAGACTATTCACCAAACTGAAATTAATTTCCTAAATCATCAATCAACATTCCTCTCATGCACAGATTTTTAGCACAGCCCGTCCGCTGGGAAAGCAATGACTTAGACCCATAGGAATACATGTGAACACAAGTTCACTCTGATTTCTCTTGTTATAGAGGCCATGAAAAAAAAAATGCAGTTCAGTACAAAGCCCAGAGGCCTGGTAAGGAAGACTCATTACAAAAAAAGAAACAGAATTGGTTCCTAGGTTCTAGGCCCCCAGCCTCAGAATCAGGAGATTTAACAGGATTGATTCTTCCTAGCCTTAAAAACAAAAGGGAATGACAGGGAGAGAAATGAATGTGTCAAACAGTACAACAAATAAGGCCCAAGGCTACAAGCCTTCATGTAACGATTCCACCTTAACCTCCCCTGATACCCCAACAACCTGTGGGCTGAAGCCTCCAGTGTTTTTCAGTCTGCCACTTCCAGCAAACCCCAAGTACTTACTTATCTAGAAAAGGCAAACACCACTTCATACAACAAGTAAGATTTGAACAACTGATGTAACAAATGCTTACTCTACAATTTCATTGGAGTTATCTTCTTAAAGAGAACACAAAACAAAAAACACCCCCCATACCAACTACATTCCTTTTTACAAGCCCAGAAAGAGCTTTGTCCTTTATTGTGGGCTGTGTGAATCCTGGTTCTAAAATTGCTGTTTATTCCCTAGCCCCTACCACAAATAAAATGAAACAAAGTAATTGCCTACCAAAAGCTTCTTCCTACACTGTGAAAGTATCATCCCTCTCCCCATCCCCCAGATCTACCTCTTACAATGTAAGGACCTGCAAGGATCTCGGGGCTTTTACTTTACAGAAAAACTCACAGCATCAACTCAGAACATGAAGAATAATTTAAGCTTATATTTGACCTTAGCTGAAATGTATTACCTCACCATTTCTATAGTGGTTAACAGTGTTCACTTAGCCACCTTTTTCAGAACTGCCTTTTTTTTTTTCCCAATTCAAAAGAGGTTCATGTACAGTTTTGAAAACAAGGTGCACTAATGAAACATTTCCAACCTCAAAGCGCTTTGCAATATCAAAGAGGACACTACCACTTTACAAAACAAAGAAAGCTTTAAGCAGTTGCCTTCTTTATGATGAAAGAAGTAACATTTAGATATTACCGTTCACAGATGTGAATGCTACAGCTGAAGAATCATGCAGTCATTCCAGTCGAAGTTTCATCTTTTTACTCATTCCTCCCACAAAACATTCATTTTATGCTTGTAGCAAGCAAAATAACATGTGCATCATGTCCAGAAAAATATACCCACAACAAGTTTTCTCAGTTCGTCTATTATTTTAATAAAATAAGGATAGCTTTGCATAAACCAGAAAGAAAGAGTGCTAAGATAAACCGAACAGGTTTCCCTCCCTCACCCATCAGTGCAACCAGCTCTTCACAGAGAACAACTGAATTAAAATTGTTCTTCATGCCCTATCTTAACTTCCCCAGGTTAGACCTGCAAACTGGCTGTCCAGGATCTACATTCTCCAAAGACCAATCTCTCTGTTTTCAAAAAAGCAAACTCCTACAACTAGCACAAGTCAGTCCTCAATCTGACTACTAAGTAAAAAAGGCTTTGGGTTTTTGTTTTGTTGGGTTTTTTTCCCCAAACTGAACAAATAGATTAAATGGTCATAGTAGTTTAGATGTGTGCCACTGACACACATTTATTCTGAACTATAATCTTCCACCAGGAAAAAACTGTATCAAGAAATTAAGCAATCTTCAAATTATTTCTTTATTATTTCATGTTTTTTTATTGTGAAAAGTTTATAAAAATCAATAGTCTCATAAAAATCAAAAGTACAAATAAAGGGAGGCTGATCTCCCCTTCCATTTCATGTTTTATGCCATGTAACATATACATAAGCACATATAAATTAATGCTTTAAGGCTTTGCTTGCTATGCATTGAAGTTACTCCTCCAAAATCTTACTAACTTCCTAAAAGCTGGCAGACATACTTAAAATCTGTGCTTATGCAGAACTACTTTAAATAACAAGAACAACATTCAGCAAATATTTATCTACACAGAAATTTCATTTGGCCAAATTAGGTGAATTTAGATATGCAGCAGTCTCACATCTTTGAACAAATGTGAGCTAAACCATTGGGAAGCAAGACATCTTCCACAGTATTTAAATAAATTCTAACAGCAATATTAAAATAACAGGCCATCAACAGCATGTTGCAGCTTCATTTGCATTACATAGTTGCTTAAAATACTTGCTTCTTTTTTTCTGAAAAAACACCATAAGCCACAATAACTCTTTGGTATAAGGAGGCCATTGCAGATCACTATCACCCTCTGAAGGCACAGAAACATGATACTGCAGTAACACCACCGTGTTAGAAAATACATCAGCAATATGAACAAAATAGTCAATTTCAAAGCAGCCTCTAAAGTGTACTGAGTAGTTTCCCACTGAAACCTACTTCCAGTCAAATCTCTCATCATTCTATTCCTTTAATTTTAAGCTAAATTGCTAATTAAAAATGGACTTTATCCCTCTCAAATGCACCCACACATTTTACTTTTGAATTTATTCTTAAAACTAAACTAAACCAAACCCCAGGCAATGCAACTTAAAACACACAATGCTTCAAGCCAGTCAGGTAATTTTAAGTACAAAATACTGAATACATCACTTACCTGCAGGGTTAACATAAACTTGCTTGTTTTCTATTTCCATAGTTGCTTAACTGAACTGAGAGCAAAATGCAAAGTCTTAATGTTTTCCTTTCAAGGCCTAAAGAGAAACAGAGAGTCTCAGAGTAAGGATTAAATTCTGAAGGAGTAAAAAGCTGCAGAATCTTCACTTATGGAATACATAATTAACTGAGAAGTTCCTGGGAAGGCAATAATGTAACACAGGACAGTATCACCCTTAAACACATCTATCTAGATACCAGAATTAATAGCACAAAATTACAACACCGGGAAGAGACCTTGATGTCTTTGCAGTACCAGTTCTGTTGCTTATAAAGGAGGCACCCAAATGAAAGACGTTATTTTATGGGTAAAAGGCCTCTGTGGGCAACTTTAGTTGATAAGTCACTTCTATCACCTTAGCCTGTCCTCTTCTGCAAAGGAATTATACAGATAAGCATATAATATCAATGTCACATTTGAGAGAAATATTCCTCGAGTTTAAGTACAGCGATAAAACAATACCTCTTAATCAAGTTCAGACAGAACCTCAAAAAAGACATTATTTTTGTTCCTCTCCTCTAGGACACAGCCCTTACATTTCACTGCTTATGTACCCACAGCTGTCAAGCTCTCCCATCTGTGCTTCTGCACACTCCACCCCCATTAAGAAATGCCCATCATTCAGTTAGGAAAGGATGAAGTTGGGAACTCCTCTTTCTATGCTACTCTCTTCCTCCCTCTCTTCCTAGCAGCTGCTGTTCTACAGAGCACCATAGGTCAATGTTGGAATCATCTGTCTTTGTTTCTGCTGTGTACATAAGCAAGTGGCTCCAGCATCCATCACACACTTATCTGCAATGTTTACATGAACCACTCTGTAGTCCAGGGAATACTACTGGGATATGTCCCTACACTATGAGCATCCAGTGGTTCCTCTTTCATATCTATTGCTGCCCTGAAAATAGCTCACTGAGGGATGCGTGGCAAGACTGTGACATCAAGCAACATCACTCCCTTCTGCTTTTCTCCTCTTCCCTCGTTTCTCCTCTTTTGTCCATTATACCACAGACCTATTAACTGCAAATGATTCATCATATGTGGTCAAAAGTGAAGAAATCCTGGTTTGGAACACAGTAGCAAGCTGTCACAATCTTAATTTCCTAATGTTAACCCCAAATCCAAACAGTTAACGACTCTGTGTAATACAAAGTCCTTCCTGGCCCACACCATTTTTAAGGACAGGTCCTTCCTTACTTTGGTCATTCAGGAGTCCAGGTGTTCTGAGTCAGTTGTGCAGAGGGCTTTTCTGTAGGGACCTCAGGCTGGTCTGAGCAGACTACCACATAAGAACAGTTTTATTCTCCTCACAGGAATGTGCCATCCGTTGTCCCCTTCTTTAAAAAGGGAGGAGAAAAAGGACCCAAAAGTGCATTAAGTAACAACGAAAACAAAGTATTTCCCCATGTACAATAAAGTCAAAGAACACTTTTTTCCACATAGGGCTCTACCAGTAATGTTCCACCTAAACACCACACAAAAACACCACAATGTTCCTCCATTCTCCCAAAATCCACGCTGCTCCCTACATAGCAAGGGGCATGGGATAACTAGGCTTCACAATTCATGGGCAGGCATATCTACACCTCAGGAATGCATTCTCCCAGCCTAGGATCCCATTAATACAAGGTAAAAGGCCCACTCAAACTCCAGATTGCTGGTGTGTATCTCTGTGCGCCAAAAAAAAAAAGGAGAGAAAAAAGGAGGAAAAAAAAGCAAGCAAGAAAAAACACTTCATATTCTGCTACACTGCAGCACAGTATTACTGATCAGCTTCAGAATAAGATCTAAAAACATGTTTAAAAAAATAAATAAAAGAAAAAGGAAAACCCAAAGCTTACAAGCTTACATCAGTAGAAGTGTATTTGGCCCAAAATGAACATAAGTGTCTGCAGAAGGAGAATGGTACAACAGAACCCTGGATGAACCAGTGCTCGGAAAAGCGTTTTTAACAAAAGCGGGAGAGCCGAGCCCTCCTGGGCGGCCCAAGGCCACGGCCGAGAGCCGCTGTCGCGGCTGTCCCCGCAGCAGCAGGAGCACCCGGGCCGCCACACC